ACAAATAGGTGAGTACACATACACCGGGGCCAGGAGCTATGACTCGACCACTGCAACCACAAATAGGTAAGTATACTCACACACACACACTTATACATAAAGTTACTTCCTATACATGTAATTGGTTGTCATTAATCATGGGGAAGAGCTAAACCCGAAGGGATCATACAGCGCCTGCAGGGGGGGGGAGGGGGGAAGGAAGGCATTCAAACATAATTCAAGGAATTGAAGCACAGGTCCCATACCCGAAATGCCTAGCCATGCTAGGTGTTCTAGTGGCCCCCTCTGTAATTAGTATTTTACTACATGTAAACCGCACAATAACCAAATTCTGTAAACTCAGCATTGTAATCCTTATAGAGAATAAAATTTGAATTTTAATTTGAATTTAGATCAAGAACTCCTCACCAGCATTAAGAAGGTTCCCCTTGAGGGGTCTTACACCTGGCTGTCTACATAAAAAAACTCCAGGTACTCTCTGGCCTTATGTTCTTTGGTGAAAATAAAGTTTTTTTTTATTTTTTTAGTTATCTTAGGTAATTTACACATATGTTACTATACAAAACAATCACTGGAAAAAAAATAGTGAAATTCCAAGAGCTTTCGTGATTTCTCATATAATCACAGGTCCTTGGAAATGCGAGAAATCACGAAATCGCTTGGCATTTCACTATTTTTTCACTGTGGTTGTTTTGCATACTGTGATCTTATTGCATATGTTACTATATATATATAACTGTACTTATGTATACTTGTACCTAAATAAATTTACTCGCTGGAAAGTTGCGTATATGACTGTGACGACGATAGAGACATACCCAGGTCTCCATAATATATACTTCTCAAACCTATCAGAGCCAGATACTGTTTGCACAAGTTTATTTACATACAGGTACACATACATAAGAACATAAGATGGAATACTGCAGCAGGCCTACTGGCCCATGCGAGGCAGGTCCAAGATTCCTACCGGCTTCAACCAATGCCCTAACCTAGTCAGGTCAGGTCACATTCACATGAGTAACATAAATGTTGAGATGCCGAGCACTTCAGCAGGAACACACATACATGATAAAGTTTATGGAGCAGGGAGAGCGTGGACCTAGTAGCGACCAGTGAAGAGGCGGGGCCAGGAGCTGTGAATCGACCACGCAACCACAAATAGGCGAGTACATCTAACACCCTTCCTAGCCACCAGGAACCCCTTCCTTAGCTCCTTGAAACTGAAAACTATCTTAGTAAACAAAATTATTTTCTGTAAGTTTTGGTATCCTGTTCTCTCTGAGTGGAGTGTTCTATAGCCCTGGAAAAAAGGTACAGTAGTCCCGGTATGATATTGTAGTCTTGGGGAGGAGATACTTTTATCACTGCTATGGAGATATTATAGTCCTGGAAAGAAGTTCTTGTAGCCAAGATAGAGATATTGTAACCCTGGAAGGGAGATATTGTAGCCTGAGATACTGTAGCTTGAGAGGGAGATATTGTAGTCCTGAAAGGGAGTTAGAGCAACAGCAAAGAACTACAGACCAATAGCACTAACATCCCATATCATAAAAATCTTTGAAAGGGTCCTAAGAAGCAAGATCACCACCCATCTAGAAACCCATCAGTTACACAACCCAGGGCAACATGGGTTTAGAACAGGTCGCTCCTGTCTGTCTCAACTACTGGATCACTACGACAAGGTCCTAAATGCACTAGAAGACAAAAAGAATGCAGATGTAATATATACAGACTTTGCAAAAGCCTTCGACAAGTGTGACCATGGCGTAATAGCGCACAAAATGCGCGCTAAAGGAATAACAGGAAAAGTTGGTCGATGGATCTATAATTTCCTCACTAACAGAACACAGAGAGTAGTCGTCAACAGAGTAAAGTCCGAGGCAGCTACGGTGAAAAGCTCTGTTCCACAAGGCACAGTACTAGCTCCCATCTTGTTCCTCATCCTCATATCCGACATAGACAAGGATGTCAGCCACAGCACCGTGTCTTCCTTTGCAGATGACACCCGAATCTGCATGACAGTGTCTTCCATTGCAGACACTGCAAGGCTCCAGGCGGACATCAACCAAATCTTTCAGTGGGCTGCAGAAAACAATATGAAGTTCAACGATGAGAAATTTCAATTACTCAGATATGGTAAACATGAGGAAATTAAATCTTCATCAGAGTACAAAACAAATTCTGGCCACAAAATAGAGCGAAACACCAACGTCAAAGACCTGGGAGTGATTATGTCGGAGGATCTCACCTTCAAGGACCATAACATTGTATCAATCGCATCTGCAAGAAAAATGACAGGATGGATAATGAGAACCTTCAAAACTAGGGAGGCCAAGCCCATGATGACACTCTTCAGGTCACTTGTTCTATCTAGGCTGGAATATTGCTGCACTCTAACAGCACCTTTCAAGGCAGGTGAAATTGCCGACCTAGAAAATGTACAGAGAACTTTCACGGCGCGCATAACGGAGATAAAACACCTCAATTACTGGGAGCGCTTGAGGTTTCTAAACCTGTATTCCCTGGAATGCAGGAGGGAGAGATACATGATTATATACACCTGGAAAATCCTAGAGGGACTAGTACCGAACTTGCACACGAAAATCACTCACTACGAAAGCAAAAGACTTGGCAGACGATGCACCATCCCCCCAATGAAAAGCAGGGGTGTCACTAGCACGTTAAGAGACCATACAATAAGTGTCAGGGGACCGAGACTGTTCAACTGCCTCCCAGCACACATAAGGGGGATTACCAACAGACCCCTGGCAGTCTTCAAGCTGGCACTGGACAAGCACCTAAAGGCAGTTCCTGATCAGCCGGGCTGTGGCTCGTACGTTGGTTTGCGTGCAGCCAGCAGCAACAGCCTGGTTGATCAGGCGCTGATCCACCAGGAGGCCTGGTCACAGACCGGGCCGCGGGGGCGTTGACCCCCGAAACTCTCTCCAGGTAAACTCCAGAGCAGCCTTGCGAAGAATATATAGTAAGATAAGATAAAATTTCGTTCGGATTTTTAACCCCGGAGGGTTAGCCACCCAGGATAACCCAAGAAAGTCAGTGCGTAATCGAGGACTAACTTATTTCCATTGTCCCCCAGGATGCGGCCCACACCAGTCGACTAACACCCAGGTACCTATTTGCTGCTAGGTGAACAGGACAACAGGTGTAAGGAAACGTGTCGAAATGTTTCCACCCGCCGGGAATCGAACCCGGGCCCTCCGTGTGTGAAGCGTGAGCTTTAGCCACCAGGCCACCTGGAAGATAGTGAAGCCTTAGAAAGAATATATCGTAGCCCTGAAAGATGGTGAAGCCTTGTGAAGAATATATCGTTGCCCTGGAAGATGGTGAAGCCTTGGGAAGAATATATCGTTGCCCTGGAAGATGGTGAAGCCTTGGGAAGAATATATCGTTGCCCTGGAAGATGGTGAAGCCTTGGGAAGAATATATCGTTGCCCTGGAAGATGGTGAAGCCTTGGGAAGAATATATCGTTGCCCTGGAAGATGGTGAAGCCTTGGGAAGAATATATCGTTGCCCTGGAAGATGGTGAAGCCTTGGGAAGAATATATCGTTGCCCTGGAAGATGGTGAAGCCTTGGGAAGAATATATCGTTGCCCTGGAAGATGGTGAAGCCTTGGGAAGAATATATCGTTGCCCTGGAAGATGGTGAAGCCTTGGGAAGAATATATCGTTGCCCTGGAAGATGGTGAAGAATTGGGAAGAATATATCGTAGCCCTGTAAGATAGTGAAACCTTGGGAGGGTGATACTGTAGCCTGGAAGGGAAATGAGCAGCAGGTTGTATGCCAAACCATGTCTGTGGGTTGCCCACTCGTGATTATCGTCACATTCACGGAGAAGCATTAAATCCTTACGGGTCACAGAGTACCTGGTGAATGGGAGGTAATCAGGCTTGATCCAAGGGGATTGGTAACGCCAATTAACAAAGAGCCCTTCACCAGGATCAAGAAACACCCCCTAAGACAAGTCTCACCAGCCAAAATTTTCTAAATAACAAACATGTACTCCATGCCTCCTGCCTCACACATAGTATATTGACAATAAAATAATTGAAAGGCTTTCTACAAGCAGAGAAATTGAGCTCTAAATCCCATGTTACTTAAAAATTTAATACGATTTAATATTAACTGGTAACAGGGTTTCAAAATATTTCGCATCGTTCCATTACGTATAGTTCGTATTATAGTCTGTTCTGGGGTTAATACTTAATTATATATTAAAAATTATGTTTACCGTGAGTGTCCTAAATAAAATACAAATCATTTCTGCATTTGCATCATGGGAAAGTTTAATTATAAGCAAAATATTGGATTTTAGAGGTGAAATAATTATATTATGTCGGAAGGAATAGTCAGGTCACCTGTCAGACGAGATCATGAAAAAACACCTATTTATTACTGAAATAATAGGGATCGCTAAAGTCACATGGGTTGTGAATGTAGAATAGGAGGCAGCAGTCAGATCTGATCCAAGGAAATGAAGGGAATTTCCAATTCCTTGGACTGAGAACCCTTCACCAGCGCCACACCTCCCTCCTTCAGTAATGAAAAAGCTGAAAGCAAAAGTACTGAGAAATTTCCTTTAACACTCTGGGCTGTGCATTCCTCTCAAGCACGAGTATTTAAAATAACATTTTGTAAGTGGTAAATAATGGTAAATGTTAATTTTTTCCAACAGGTAGGAATACCATGATTAGGATACCATGGGAGACTTCTATGCTTGTCATGGTACAAAAAACATGGTTGACGGGATTAGTTATTTAGCTCGTCTTCCTCCCACACATATTAATTAAGTTTATATTTTAGCCTTACACATATTATCATCCCAGGTAAACATCATTTACATAACTGAGAAAAATAAAAATCTTCACCCGTACGAAACTTATTTACAAAATACCATTACTAAGCACAACAGCCGAGATTTTTTTATTTACTATATTTCTTAAAAATAAACCACAAATCAAACCCAGCATATCTTACCATGATGTGATGGAAACAGGCAGACGGAAGAGACTATATTAGGCGAGAGAGGAGCGTAACATCCGTCCCTCATGACGTACTCTGGCACACTGAGTCATTCCCTGGTTGGCATCTCGTTTTCTATAATATTCCTATTCATTGAGAAGCGCTAAACCCTTGGGAGGGTCATGCAGCACCTGGGTAATAAGAGATAAAGTTGATCTTAGGGAAGGAAGATGGGGTGGCTCAGATTCCTTGGATCAAGAGAGGGCTCTTGGTCCAGCATCAATACACCTTAAACATCTCGTTTTCTATATTCTTTAGAAAAGAAAACGAAATTTCAGTCGTAAACTTTCACTTTTCATCATTTATTTTAATCAGTGATCTGCGATCATTTCTTTAGAATCACTAATTATTATTTATTATTATTATAATCAAGGGGAAGCGCTAAACCAGGAGGATTATACAGCGCCTGGGGGGGGGGATGTGGAAGGCATTCAGGCTTAATTTGGGGAACTGGAGCACAGATCCAATTCCCTAAATCAAGAGCCCCTCACCAACATCAAGGAACCTTCCTTGAGGGGTAGAATCACTAAACCCATAGGATTTTCATCTTAATCATCGGGAAGCGATGAACCTGTAGGGTTCATGTAGCTCTTGATAATTGTACTTGTGTACCTGCATGTATTATTAGTATTATTATAATCAAGGGGGAAGCGCTAAACCCGGAGGATTATACAGCGCCTGGGGGGGGGATGTGGAAGGCATTCAGGCTTAATTCGGGGAACTGGAGCACAGATCCAATTCCCTAAATCAAGAGCCCCTCACCAACATCAAGGAACCTTCCTTGAGGGGATACCTGCATGTAAATGAATTTACTTCAGGTTCACTAAATTAGGTCAGATCCTTGGATCAAAATTTATTATAATCAAGGGGGAAGCGCTAAACCCGGAGGATTATACAGCTCCTGTGGGGGGATGTAGAAGGTATTCAGGCTTAATTCAGGGAACTGGATCACAGATCCAATTCCCTGGATCGAGATCCCCTCAACAGCATCAAGGAGCCTTCCTTAAGGGGCTTGGATCAAAAGCTCCTCACCAACATCTACGTACCTCCCTCGAGGGATAAACCCATTTGAGTCGTAGTTCCTGGGTAATGAGAAGAATCAGATTCGATCTAAGGAAGTAAAGGACAGGTCCAATTCCTTCCATCAAGAGCCCCCTTCACTGGCATCAAGGAACCTTCCTTGAGGAAAGCGCTAAAACCTTAGGGGTCATGAATAAGAGGCATTCACATTCGGTCCAAGAAGTTAACTTCAGTTCCTTGGATCAAGATCTCTCACCAGCATCAAGGCACTTCCTCCTGGGTTTCTACCACATTATTATTTAATTTCATAAAAAGTTCAGACGTTTACTCTGAAAACAGATCTATTTTTTGCTTACACCCAAATGTCTCTCAAATATATTATTATTATTATTATTATTATAATCAAAAAGAAGCGCTAAGCCACAAGGACTATACAGCTCTCAAATATATTGCTAAAATTTTGTTGGGATTTTTAAACAACCCTCACGTAAATGAGAGGAGCTTATGACGATGCTTCAGTCCGATTTGGATCACTGACAAACTCACGCTAAGAGAAGATTATTATTATTATTATAATCAAGGGGGAAGCGCTAAACCCAGAGGATTATACAGCGCCTGGGGCGGGGGGGGATATGTGGAAGGCATTCAGGCTTAATTCGGGGAACTGGAGCACAGATCCAATTCCCTAAATCAAGAGCCCCTCACCAACATCAAGGAACCTTCCTTGAGGGGACGCTAAGAGAAGAGCTCATGTTCATGTAGGATTGCCAGGACGGGTCCTGACCTGGGTCTTCTCCATGTGGTGATCCAGCAGTGGCTCCTGAAGGAGATTTGGAGTTTGTACAAGTGATGCACCGTTTACAGCTTTATGGTAGGGGCACAATGAGCATTTTTTCAAGTGGAGTACCTCTTACAGCCCTACGGTGGGGGCAGCCTTATGACAAGGGCACGGTTTGTCTTCTTCAGTGGTGTAGCAGTTTGCTACAATCGTCTTCAGCGCTCTGGTGTCAGGGCCGATATGTATATATACATACATACACATATGTATATATGGATGAGAAGCTCAAACCATGGTCCCAAGATTAACAAGTCCAGCACTTTACCACATCAGCTATGAGACTTCTAATAGGGAAGATTTGGAAACTACTTCTGTACATGTTTTCCATCAGAGGCATCAACTGTAACCCAACTAAACTCCTTCCCACAGCCCAGGAGTTTTAGCAGTAATTCTCTTCTTCCCTCCCTCAAATTATTATAATCAAATTATTATTATTATTATAATCAAAAAGAAGCTCTGAACCACAAGGGCTATACAGCGCTGCAGGGCAGGAAGGAAGCGAGGGTATCAGGTGGCAAAAGGGAAATGAATGAGTAATAGGTTACAGAGAACAGCGGGGCAGTGGATGGTGAAAGGTTAGAGGGCAGCAAGAGATTGAGGTAAAAAGGGCTGAGGGGAGTGCAAAAGTTATCATCATCAGAGTTTGTGGAGTAAATCAGTCGTTGTCAAGAAGTCAACGAGTCAGAATTAAAGGAGGGTCCATCAGCAAGAAGGGAAGGTAGAGAGAGAGTAGTAGAGCAGAGACGACGGAGGTAAATTCTGCGTGCTCGTTGATAGAGAGGGCAGTCTAACAATGTGGCTAATCGATACTGGAACTTAACACTGCTCACAGAGAGGAACAGGGTACCTCTCCATGAGATACCCATGAGTAAGACGAGTGTGGCCAATGCGAAGGCGGGAGAGAGTAGTCTCCCAACCTTAGCACTGATGACAAGAAGACGGTCAGTAACCTATGTTCGGTTTAATAGAATGAAGCTTGTTACCGAGTAGAGTTAATCAACATTGTTGCCAACGGGTGTGAAGGTGGGTAGCTATTACAGCAAAATAGTCCGGAAATGGAACACCTCTATATGAAATTGGTAGGTCATGTACTGCTGACCGTGCAGCAGTGTCTGCCTGTTCATTGCCCTATACGTCAACATGACCAGGGACCCAACAAAAAACAATATCTTTATGCTTGGTAGAGATACGGCGTAGCCAAAGTTGGATACGGAGATCTAGGGGGTGAGGTGTATCAAATTTCCGTATAGCCTGTAGAGCACTAAGGGAGTCTGAGACAACCACAAATGATGACACAGGCATAGATGTGATACAAATAAGTGCTTCAAGAATGGCACACAATTCAGCAGTAAAAATACTAGCCGAAGATAGTAAATGCCCTCGCACGACGCTGTCCGGAAACTCTATTATAATCAAAAAGAAGCGCTAAACCACAAGAGCTATACAGCGCTGCGCCCTCCCTCAAAGCCATATAGTTTTTGAACTCAGACTGTCAATGAATAAACAGAAGTCCCAAAGCCAAAGCAGAAGAGTAATGGATCTGTTAATCTTGGGACCACGGTTCAAGTCTCCCATCCATCTTTCTGTTTATTCACTGGCAGTCATTTATTACAACTTAATCCGAGTTCATAAACTATATGTCTTTGAAGGATTTACTGCTAAAGCTCCATGGATGTGGGGAGGAATTCAGTTGGATCACAGTTGGTGCCTCTGATGGTAAACACTGAATTAGAGAAGGAAATGAGAGATACAGTACTAAATAGAAAGTTACAGTGACTGTTTACAGAAGAGAACCAGGAGTTGTCAGGAAATGGAAGAACAGATAAGCACACAACACACCCCAAGACAGCATAAGCAATTATGACAGCTGATTGTTTCATGAAAGGCTACATCAAACCTACTTTATTCTGATCCATCCACCCAAGAAACATATGGTCCAATGAAGAGCCTCCACTCCAAGGATAAGCTCAACTTCCATAAGAGTAAGAACAAGTGGCAATCAGGTCTCCATGCACAGCACACACACGTAGCAATGAAAAGTCTGAAAGTCCAAACCAGTGCGGTCTAAGGAATCAGCAAAAGTCATAAATTCCCAGTAAAGGAAATGCTTTCAGGAGAAATAGACACCAAAGGTATATAGCTTTGTAGCTACAAAGTTATATACCTATATACTTACATAGAATACCTGCATCAGGGCCAGGAATCAATGTGGCCTTTCTACTTTCCATCAAAGTAAAATCTGTATCAATGCAGTCACTAGCCATCCCCAATGATGCCTGGCCATACTCTGCAAGCAGTGCACATTAGATCCTGGTACAAATTTCAAGAAAAATAAAACCCAAGTGAGCAAAATATTATGACAAACTTTATTACACATATTCACATGATGAGGCGATAGATTATAACATTTCTGAAATGCACGAACAAAAATAACTATATATTAAATATTTTCCCAGGTGTTCATGACAAGTTCTTACAATGGCTGCTTAAAAATCTTTCACTAAAGACCATTTTAAAAATAAAAATTTATGATTTTAATGTTATAAATGAATGATAAGGTGCAGAGCAAATTTCACCTCAAATAATCGTAGAACTTGATTCATCACTTTAGATATCTATAAATGGATTTGACAGCTGCAAAATATATAAAACTATATACAAAATAACATATGTATTCAAATGACAACCCAACAAGATTTATCAGTGTTAATTGGCCTGTTTAGTAATGGAGTCTTTAACACACTTTTTATTCCTTTATTTAAAAAAATGGACAACAGTTAAATATATTAATTGATTCTAAATACAACTGAAAGTAAAAAATAGTGCCCAAGGGATACCAGAATATTTTTTTTTAAAAAGAGGATACAGCACTTGAATCATTTTATTTTTAGGTGACAATTGCAAGTGCATCAACCTCTTAAAGGCCACAATAACACAAGAATGAATTCAGAACATATTCAAAATTGTTCAGATTATCATAAAGTACTGTACTATACGTATCTTTATATGAGCAATGGTATGATGCACTTGGCAGCATTCTTATGCCTTTCAATAATATGTACATAAAACACTATCATACATTATACACACAAATTATCTTCAGCCATAACACAAGGTAGGCTGAGGATGCAACTGGAGGTCAACAGATGACATTGCTTGAATGTAACAGTATCCAACCCATTTTTTAATAAAAGTTTACACTAGCCTACTGATTCTTTCCTTAATTAGCATAATTTAAAACAATACTATACCACTGTTCTCACAAAATTTTCCTTTCATTAATACAATCAGTCAAATTGGTTTCCGAGACGGGACTGAGATTAGTGTATAGAGTACATGTATACTATGTCATTTACTGAAGACTGACTTAGTCAGCATTGGAAAAATCGGAGGCAAGTAACCACAGTATGGGTGAAAGACTGTGCCATATGTGCAAATGTCTGAAGCCTCAGTAAAAAAATTAAAGTTTTATAATAATTTTCTACTACATTACAGACCCAATTATATGCTTATTAATTTTGGCAAGGTTTTCAAACCATATTCAATTACTCTATGTTCAGATGACAGCCATTCTAAATTTTTATTGTCTTACCTAGAAAATATGTAAATGCATGAACAAAGCAAAAGATTCAAATTTTTTTTTCTTTAGTAAGAGTTGACACAAATATAAAATATGTAATCTGCTGTCTACAAATAGTACTGTACACAAATTATTCTAATATGGCTTACATCTTTGTTATAAATATTTTCCACATTCACAATGTTGTTTAAAATGATTTAAGTAACTTTGATATACTAGTCAAGAAAAGATTTTCAATCAGATAACAATGTTTTAATAACAATTTGCAATAAGTTACAACGGACAATTAATTTTAGAAATTCACAGACATGCATCAAGATGTAGAATGTGTCTCAACGGATTAATTACAAAATGAGGACATACAATAGGAAAACCAAGGATCACTGCAGGTCCTGAAACTAAATGTGAGTTCACCTGAAACCAAATCTGACTGGAATCTATCACAGACTTGAGTAATAAACCATTAAGATATCAATACAGGCTGAGGTAGCCTGATAATGAAAATAAATACATGTATTACAATTATCATTTAAAGACAAAAATTAGTTACCAGAAAAAGGATGACATGAAGCGCTCTTATTAGTTTCTTGTTAGGTTCGTACTAGTTTAATAGCTACCATAAAACTGCCACACAAGTGTTTAATACTAATCAATGATGACAAATACAGCAAATGTAAGGAAATTCAATTAATTTTTGTATCAAAAACAAACAAGATGAGAGTTAATAGTTTTTTGGAAAAAATCATAACATTACTAATACACATGCCTATCTGACATTCATGACTGAACCTAGGTCTTCCTATACTTAACCCTGAGGTGAATTTAACTTCTTATAACTCATTAAATTTAATTTAGTCCTTTCTATATACAATAACCGAGTGAATTGGGAGCTTTCCCTAAATGCCAACCAGTCACACCTAGGTCTTCCTATACCTGATACGTGGTAATAATAAGTCTACATCTTCCTGTAACCAATCACACCCACTGTAGGTCTTCCTTAAACTGATACCCAGGGATGCACCCACATCTTCCTGTAACCAATCACACCAAGGTCTTCTGAAATCAGAGGCAACTGAGATAAGCCTACATCATTCTACACCTGACATCCATGATCTATTATGCATTTTTAGAAAATCTCAACATTACTACATAAAATCATTAAATATGGCACGACAGTAACAAATAAACCAATTTTTGGAATATTAAATTTCTGTGGCCCATACAGGAGAAAATGTGATTATGGAAGTTAACACCTGGTAGGGGATGGCCTTGCCTGACAGTTTAAAATTTTATTTTAATGCAGTATAGCAAGCTAAAAGGTATCTGTATTTTAACTTTCATTTCATTATTAGTGAAAGTTTCAAATATGCTACTTATTATTGAATTTTGAATCTTTTCTAAACATGTACTTCACCAAAATACATCTACATAACCCCTGCACATTCAAGCACAAAACATTCTGTTTTTAGTATACCTCGATGAGAAAAAACTATTTTCAATTATTCAATGCATATGTAATAGTAAAGTAACTGAAAAGGTACATGTACTGTGTATGTACTATATGCCTATAATTTCTTTGATCAAGGTAGATTTTGGAAATTATCATTCAATGTTAGAGCAAGTATAACATACCCAAATGTTACCAAAGAAATCATAATAATCACTAATGCTATAATGTAATAAAAATTCTGGCTGAACACACTAGGACAGTAATTATGTACAACTGCATTACTTTCAACACATTTTCCTGACAAACTGAATTGTACTTCAAAACAAATATTATTTATGGGGCAAGTGACAAAATTTTCTAGCAAAGAGTCCTTGATTACCAACTAAGATGAACTATACCAAAACCTAGCATTAGGCAAGCTGCTGCACAGTACACAGTACATCACATTCTCAAGTACTTCTCTGCTACCTATATAATTTGCAATGTATTCACTGAATTATTTTTGGGTAATAAACTGTCCATTTAAGAAAAATAATTGTGAAGGTATTACCTATTTATGAACAGCATTTATATGAAGAATAAACAGAATTAGTAAAGGAGTACAGTACCTGCCAGAAAAATATAATTACATTTTTCTTATACTGCACATAAATTAGGAACAGTCACTAATAATGGCTGACTTATTGGCTGGATGGCTTCAGGTGATAAAGTCAAGTTGATTGTTACTGCAAGCATATGGTGGGTTTGGAAAGTGAGCCCTGAGCACCACAATAGAAAGACAAAACTGATAACTTCTGAACTACATTTTCCTTGGAACATTAAGGAAATACTCTAGTTACTGTATGTACACACGCACATTCACATGCTTACGCTCATGCACATATTTACTATTAGACAAAGAGAATTTCTTGTAGGTGTATTTATTAGGCTGTACAAATTGTGTGAATATTTTCTGATTGAAGGTAGAGGTGTGATGAAGATGTATCTGGAAGATGTAAAATATTTGAAGGAAATGTACAAACCTTAAAGAGTAACATATAAAATGGGCTAAGTTGGTATGCATGGATGCACTCTAGCAAATTATAAAATATGCAAATGTTAGCAAAATCGGTCATTAATTACAATGTATCTTGACAGGTTCCAGGAGTGTCACACACTGTGTTTCACATGTCTTAAGCAATTCTAATAACACTATTTTTTTTTTTAATAAATACACTTTCCTAATAAACAGTACTAAAGGCAGATTTTAAAATGGTATTTTAGAGTTAAATAATAAGCAAAATCTAACTACAGTACTGCAAAAGTTATATTTGATAGAAAACATTAGTGAAGTTATTGAAACATCTACAAAAATGTTAAGTGAAAATGGCCAATGAGGCAAAAAAATGAACGTAAGAATTACCACTAAATATAGTAGCAGTGGCATCTCTTAAACTGATTTAACACAAAACTGTTGAAAGATAAATTCTGTGATGATTTTATACTAAGTATGTACTACTGGGTTGTAACATCCAGCCTATATATATCATCAATATCTCTAGTAGATAGACTCACCAAGTATCTAAACTATTACTCAATGCATACACACGTACAAACACGCATGCACACATCAACACTGGCACACAGACCTCTGTCCGTGCACACACACACACAAACACACACACAAACAAACACACACACACATACAAACACACACACACACACAAACATACAAACACACACACACATACAAACACACATACACACAAACCTACATACACAAACACACCTACCTTACCTAGTCAGGTTGAGTTAAGGGAAATATACTGCAAGGAAAGACAAAGGCCTTATATATATGGAAGAACAAGTAATAAGATAAGGATTGACTTTACCAGAGAAGTAACTAGAAGAGGACATGGAAACTATACAGCCAGACAAGCCAGAGGTGTATGAAAACACTTTTTAAACATAATATTGGAATGAATTGAACAGATACAATGAAGATGAACTCCATACAGGAGTTCAGAATTATGACAAATCCATTTCACTTCAATCAAAGGTTAAGAGCCAGTATCAAAACCTAGATTTCACCTCCAGCCTTGCAAAGCCAAATAGGAAATTAAACACACACACATAATATCCAAGAAGTATGCCAGATTAGTGTCTGAGTTATAGGAAATATGCTAAAAAGACAGAATACAAGAGCTAGGTCTGTCTCAGTAACAACAAAGAACATGAAGTACAAAAAGGCACAATACCGTGACTGGAACAATACACAAATAACCCGCACATATGAGAGAGAAGCTTACAATGATGTTTTGGTCCAACTTGCACCATTTATGTCTCACGCCGAACCGAGACGCCATCATAAGCTTCTCTCTCCTATGTGCAGCTTGTGTAAAGATCATAAAAGCATATTATTGGGGCATAAAATACTCCAGGACATAAACAGGGATAGGCTCCTTACCAGGAATGAACAAGAACAAGAGGGCATGGATGGAAATTACACACCCAAATGATCCACAAGAGTATGAGAAAATGCTTCAACATAAGAGTAATATGAAGTGGAAAATGACATAATGGAAGCTATCAAATATGGAGGGGTTCAAAAAGAAGTATGAAGGTTAATTTACCTCAATCGGCTAGACATTAAAAGGCATGATCAAAAGCTATAGCTAACCCCCTGCAAAGTCAAACAGGTTACCGACACTCCTATACAGAGTGGTGAGAAACTAGTGATCGACTTCAAAATAGCCTTCAGATATAATGGTGTAGAAAAAAAAAAAAGTGTTGCAACATACTGTACTTTAGAAGGATATTGGAATCTGTAGCAGTCATGTTGTGGATGCCCCTATAAATACCTGTAGACAAGATAAAATAAAAAGATATACAACAAAATGGCTCTCAGAGCCAAAAGAAAAGTATGAAAAAACACGGAAAATGACCTTTGGAAGTTAGTTAAATATTTTTTAGCACCATCAACAGGAAGAACTAGAAGCTATAACTGAACAATAAGAAAAATAGTAGTGCTAAAAATTACTAAAGATATATAATCATTTTTTCACAAATATAGTAAAATATTGGAATGGGATTCAAAATGTGGTAATACTGTATGTGCAACCACTGGAAACCTTAAAAATATATGACAAATTAACCCGTAAACGGTCTAAACGTATATATACGTTTTTTCAACATTTGAAAGTATGTAAAAAAAGTAGATATTCTTTTTTCTTTTTTACATTTGAAAATGTGTAAAAAACTTTGATCTATTTTTTTTTGTTATATTTGAAAATATGTAAAAAAAAACATAGACCTACTTTTGGAGCACTATGTATGTGAATGTAGATCTGCTTGGACCGTTTACGGGTTAAACACTGGTCATAAGATAATACCAACATCTCTCACTAATGGGTCATTCTCATTCTCTGTCTCTCTCTCTCTCATTCTCTCTCTCTCTCTCATTCTCTGTGTCTCTCATTCTCTGTCTCTCTCATTCTCTGTCTCTCTCATTCTCTGTCTCTCTCATTCTCTGTCTCTCTCATTCTCTCTCTCTCTCATTCTCTCTCTCTCTCATTCTCTCTCTCTCTCTCTCTCTCTCTCTCTCTCTCTCTCTCTCATTCTCTCTCTCTCTCTCTCTCTCTCTCTCTCATTCTCTCTCTCTCTCTCTCTCATTCTCTCTCTCTCTCTCTCATTCTCTCTCTCTCATTCTCTCTCTCTCTCTCTCTCTCTCTCTCTCTCTCTCTCTCTCATTCTCTCACTCTCTCTCTCTCTCTGTCTCTGTCTCTCTCTCTCACACACACACACACACACACACACACACATGTAAGAAATGTACATTTGTTTCTGATCCAATATGTGGATTGATACATCAGACATGATTAACATAAACAGGTCAAACAAAAGCAATCATGTCTTTATAAATGATGGGACAAAAGTACAGTATATATCAAGGCACTCTTCCAATTTGTTCAATATATATGGCAAAAAATTCTTATCAGCACTATATATATATATATATAAGAAATTACTGGCAAAAGTCAATATTTAAACACATGACTTAAAAATAATATTTTAAGTTTCTAGACCTAAACATCTTGACAACTAATCTATAGTAGTGGAATACATACTTTCTCCATTCCAAATTTATCATATTAAGATCAGCTGTTGACCCTAACAAAATGCAACAATTTCAGTATTGCTCAATGTTTCATCTTCAATACATGAACATTGCTGAAAAGGTTCAATATGTTTAAAAGCACCTGATCTAAATCTTAATGGCCATGACTCCTCTTCTTGCTCATCAAACTTAACCAAGTTAGAGACATGAAGAAATTATCACACACTTCTTTGGTTTAAAGCCCTTTGTTTTGCAAAATATGTATAAGAATATAAAATCTCAAATGTGGAAAACATGTAATAATCAAATGTAATGAAATCTTTGAAAATACAACCCTAAAATTACAAATGTAATAAAAATCTAAAATGTCTAATTTTTTTTCAATAAAAAGTGTCACAGACATGATACTCTAGTACTCAAGTTTAGCATGTCACTAATATATACTATAATCTAATTTTTCAGCAGAACTGGTCAAGTTTAGCATGTCACTAATATATATAATAATCTAATTTTTCAACTATTTCTTTGTATTATGAGTACTTTAAATATTACTGAACTGTTAAAATGCTAGGCATACACAAGGCCTTAAAACAATCTTTAAATTTTCTGACAAAAAAAAAACTTGGTGGAGTATTAAAAAAAAAAAAATTAGCACAGGAAGACTAGCATACCAAAAGACCATGTACACACTGTATTTTACTTGAAACAAAATAGCCAATTTATAAGAAGCCTCAACCCCTGCCAATGGATTCTACTATTGGCATCAGGCAAATCTTCAGTCAGGTATTCATGAAAGGACGGAATTTCCAAACTCGCTAGCTGAAAACCAACAAAAAAGGAACCTTCAATCTCCACAAATACTTAACTGCTGTATTTTACAAGTATTGGCAATGTCTAAAATACAAAGGATAATGCATCAATACTGTACCAGTACCTAATACCAAGGACGGTACTGACCAGAACTAGCAAATCGTAAGTTCAAATAATACTAATACATATAGCAAAAGCATGAAATGAGAATTTAACAATAAATGTCTGTTAGCTCATTCTACTCACAGTAGAAAAGTTTAGTATTAAATTGAGAGGTCATTTTTTTTTTTTTTTCAACAAGTCGGCCGTCTCCCACCGAGGCAGGGTGACCCAAAAAAGAAAGAAAATCCCCAAAAAGAAAATACTTTCATCATCATTCAACACTTTCACCACACTCACACATTATCACTGCTTTTGCAGAGGTGCTCAGAACACAACAGCTTAGAAGCATATACGTATAAAGATACACAACATATCCCTCCAAACTGCCAATATCCCAAATCCCTCCTTTAAAGTGCAGGCATTGTACTTCCCATTTCCAGGACTCAAGTCCGACTATATGAACATAACCGGTTTCCCTGAATCCCTTCACTAAATATTACCCTGCTCACACTCCAACAGATCGTCAGGTCCCAAAATATCATTCGCCTCCATTCACTCCTATCTAACACGCTCATGCATGCTTGCTGGAAATCCAAGCCCCTAGCCCACAAAACCTCCTTTACCCCCTTTCGAGGACGACCCCTACCCCTCCTTCCTTCCCCTATAGATTTATATGCTTTCCATGTCATTCTACTTTGATCCATACTCTCTAAATGACCAAACCACCTCAACAACCCCTCTTCTGCCCTCTGACTAATGCTTTTATTAACTCCACACCTTCTCCTAATTTCCACACTCCGAATTTTCTGCATAATATTTACACCACACATTGCCCTTAGACAGGACATCTCCACTGCCTCCAACTGTCTCCTCGCTGCTGCATTTACCACCCAAGCTTCACATCCATATAAGAGTGTTGGTACTACTATACTTTCATACATTCCCTTCTTTGCCTCCATAGATAACGTTTTTTGACTCCACATGTACCTCAACGCACCACTCACCTTTTTTCCCTCATCAATTCTATGATTAACCTCATCCTTCATAAATCCATCCGCCGACACATCAACTCCCAAGTATCTGAAAACATTCACTTCTTCCATACTCCTCCTCCCCAATTTGATATCCAATTTTTCTTTATCTAAATCAATTGATACCCTCATCACCTTACTCTTTTCTATGTTCACTTTCAACTTTCTACCTTTACACACATTCTCAAACTCATCCACTAACCTTTGCAATTTTTCTTTAGAATCTCCCATAAGCACAGTATCATCAGCAAAAAGTAACTGTGTCAATTTCCCATTTTGAATTTGATTCCCCATAATTTAATCCCACCCCTCTCCCAAACACCCTAGCATTTACTTCTTTTACAACCCCATCTATAAATATATTAAACAACCATGGTGACATTACACATCCCTGTCTAAGACCTACTTTTACTGGGAAGTATTCTCCCATCTCTTCTACACACCCTAACCTGAGCCTCACTATCCTCATAAAGCTCTTTACAGCATTTAGTAACTTACCACCTATTCCACATACTTGCAACATCTGCCACATTGCTCCTCTATCCACTCTATCATATGCCTTTTCTAAATCCATAAATGCGAAAAACTTCCCTACCTTTATCTAAATACTGTTCTATATATGCTTCAATGTAAACACGATCTACACATCCCTACCCACTCTGAAGCCTCCCTGCTCATCCGCAATCCTACATTCTGTCTTACCTCTAATTCTTTCAATTATAACCCTACCGTATACTTTTCCTGGTATACTCAGTAAACTTATTCCTCTATAATTTTTACAATCTCTTTTGTCCCCTTTCCCTTTATATAAAGGGACTATACATGCTCTCCGCCAATCCCTAGGTACCTTCCCCTCTTTCATACATTTATTAAACAAAAGTACCAACCACTCCAACACTATATCCCCCCTGCTTTTAACATTTCTGTCATGATCCCATCAGTTCCAGCTGCTTTACCCCCTTTCATTCTACGTAATGCCTCACGTACCTCCACTACACTTACATTCTGCTCTTCTTCACTCCTAAAAGATGGTATACCTCCCTGGCCAGTGCATGAAATTACCGAAAAGAAAATTTAGAACTAGTAAGCACAAGGAAAAAGACGCAAGTATATGTTACAAACCTTTATCGGGGACATTTTACTCCAATATACGTAGTACAGTGAAACATATAAGTGAACAGTATTTAGATAAGGCTAAAGAGGTCTTTGTGGCATTTATGGATTTGGAAAAAGCGTATGACAGGGTGGATAGGGGGGCAATGTGGCAGATGTTGCAAGTGTATGGTGTAGGAGGTAGGTTACTGAAAGCAGTGAAGAGTTTTTACGAGGATAGTGAGGCTCAAGTTAGAGTATGTAGGAAAGAGGGAAATTATTTCCCAGTAAAAGTAGGCCTTAGACAAGGATGTGTGATGTCACCGTGGTTGTTTAATATATTTATAGATGGAGTTGTAAGAGAAGTAAATGCGAGGGTCTTGGTAAGAGGCGTGGAGTTAAAAGATAAAGAATCACACATAAAGTGGGAGTTGTCACAGCTGCTCTTTGCTGATGACACTGTGCTCTTGGGAGATTCTAAAGAGAAGTTGCAGAGATTGGTGGATGAATTTGGTAGGGTGTGCAAAAGAAGAAAATTAAAGGTGGAATACAGGAAAGAGTAAGGTTATGAGGATAACAAAAAGATTAGGTGATGAAAGATTGAATATCAGATTGGAGGGAGAGAGTATGGAGGAGGTGAATGTATTCAGATATTTGGGAGTGGGACGTGTCAGCGGATGGGTCTATGAAAGATGAGGTGAATCATAGAATTGATGAGGGGAAAAGAGTGAGTGGTGCACTTAGGAGTCTGTGGAGACAAAGAACTTTGTCCTTGGAGGCAAAGAGGGGAATGTATGAGAGTATATTTTTTATCAATGCTCTTATATGGGTGTGAAGCATGGGTGATGAATGTTGCAGCGAGGAGAAGGCTGGAGGCAGTGGAGATGTCATGTCTGAGGGCAATGTGTGGTGTGAATATAATGCAGAGAATTCGTAGTTTGGAAGTTAGGAGGAGGTGCGGGATTACCAAAACTGTTGTCCAGAGGGCTGAGGAAGGGTTGTTGAGGTGGTTTGGACATGTAGAGAGAATGGAGCGAAACAGAATGACTTCAAGAGTGTATCAGTCTGTAGTGGAAGGAAGGCGGGGTAGGGGTCGGCCTAGGAAAGGTTGGAGAGAGGGGGTAAAGGAGGTTTTGTTTGCGAGGGGCTTGGACTTCCAGCAGGCATGCGTGAGCGTGTTTGATAGGAGTGAATGGAGACAAATGGTTTTTAATACTTGACGTGCTGTTGGAGTGTGAGCAAAGTAACATTTATGAAGGGGTTCAGGGAAACCGGCAGGCCGGACTTGAGTCCTGGAGTTGGGAAGTACAGTGCCTGCACTCTGAAGGAGGGGTGTTAATGTTGCAGTTTAAAAACTGTAGTGTAAAGCACCCTTCTGGCAAGACAGTGATGGAGTGAATGATGGTGAAAGTTTTTCTTTTTCGGGCCACCCTGCCTTGGTGGGAATCGGCCAGTGTGATAAAAAAAAAAAAAAAAAAAAATACGTAGTAGGCTGGTAGACAGCAACCACCCAGGGAGGTACTACCGTCCTGCCAAGTGAGTGTAAAACAAAAGCCTTTAATTGTTTTACATGATGGTGGGATTGCTGGTGTCCATTTTTCTGTCTCATGAACATGCAAGGTTTCAGGTACGTCTTGCTACTTCTACTTACACTTAGGTGACACTACACATACATGTACAAGCATATATATATACACACCCCTCTGGGTTTTCTTCCATTTTCTTATTAGTTCTTGTTCTTGTTTATTTCCTCTTATCTCCATGGGGAAGTGGGCCACCCTGTCTTGGTTGGATGCGGCCGGTTCAGTGAGGAAAAAAAAAAAAAAATTTACTCCAAGCAGAGCTGCAGCAAGTAAAAGTTCTGCTTAGAGTGAAATGTTCAAACGAAGGATTGTTCTACATACTAGTATCTCTATCACTATACTTGGTGTCACACCCTCTAACCAAACTGGAGAGCAATGAAATTTCAACACAATAAGAATAACAGTAAGCCTAGGAAGGAGAAAAAAAAAAAACTTTCAAAAGCCAAAATATAGCAGAAAGGATAAAACAAAAATAAAACACCTCCAAAAGAAAAATGATAAGAAAAAGGATCCAGAGAAGGGTATTAAGGAAAGCTGTAATGTTAATGTACAGAAATAGACAAAAAATAAGAGAGAGAGAGGAAAGGCTACAATAGCTGAAGATGACAAGATTGTAGTTCAGAGAACTCGATCCCAGAGGAAAAGAAAGCTCTTTGTGTTGGATAACAATAATAGTGATGAGGATTCTGTCATAATTTGCATGTCAGATACGAATGATGATGATAGCGACCTGGCAATAGTGATGAGTCATAGATGTTGAAAAGCATAAGTAATAATAATGTAAGATGTAGAAGAAAACCTAAGAAGAGAGGGAGAAATTCAGAAATCACTAACAAAAGAAGAAAAGATGGATAGTAAAAAGAAAACTGTACCAAAAGAAAAAAAAACATATAGAAGCAGAATACAAAAAGTAAACAGTAATGTTACCTCACAAAAACAGACTAAGACTAAGAAAGCAAAGTCTACAAAAGCACTTCAGAATATCAAAACAGCAGACAGAAAGGCCAATAAAGTCAATGGCAAAGAAATTACAAAGGAAAATCCCAAACTTAAAGATAATGAAGTATAACTGCAAAGCGAGGCACCCTCAAATACCTGCTACAGAGAGAAGAATATTTGAAGGCAAAGGCAAAAGAAATTGAAGCAGATGACTTTTTTGATGGGGATGAGATATTTAAAAGAAAGAAAAATAAGCTAAGTAATCTTCTTGTTGCATTCTCACTTATCAAGACTCCACAAAGCAAGGGTAAAAAGATGCCCGACACAATCATTACTCCACGAACTGGGCTAATGAGTCAGCTGGCAGTTGTGGCTCCCTCCACAAGCTTCCTACCAAGTATCTCTGGAAGTCACGTTTCATCAGCAGCATCCCAATATGAGGAAACCACAAGGCATTAGGAAGGCCCTATATAATAGCATGATTTCTGAAAGTTCTGCAATGGATAAGAAAAAGAATCTTCCATTGCTTGAGCTTCCAAATTTTCCTGAAGTTCCTGATACCAATGGAAATGACTAACTTTGGTGATTATTTCAATGTGTCTAATAATGGAATGCACATTGAATAAAACCATTGGGATCCATGATGTTTAAGGTAGATTCAAGATGAGATTAGGCAGCCTGCAGTTTTTTCCATCAGGAGTTCTCAGCATCACATATCTGTGATTCCTTTTAAGACATAGCATATTGCATAATCAACAAATAATGCTATAAAATTCTCCCCGTGTTTTCAATTCAGTATTGTATATACAGTTTTGTGATATGTCCTGTACTGAGAATCAGTTCCAGTATTTTGTTTATGTTGGTAATTAATACATAATACTTAACCTCTAGGTAGTAGGTTGGTAGACATCAACCGCCCAGAGAGGTACTACCATCCTGCCAAGCGAGTGTAAAACGAAACCCTCTGGGTTTTCTATTTTCTTACTAGTTCCTCTTCTTGTTTATTTCTGCTTATCTCCATGGAGAAGTGGAACAGAATTCTTCCTCCATAATCCATGCTTGTCGTAAGAGGCAACTAAAATGCCGGGAGCAAGGGGCTAGTAACCCTTCTCCTGTATGTATTACTAAATTTAAAAGGAGAACCTTTTGATTTTCTTTTTGGGTCACACTGCCTCAGTGGGATATGGCCAGTGCATTGAAAGAAAGAATAATAATAACAACAGAATTTTTAATATTATTAAAAAGCAAGCAAACACAAACAAAAGTTGACAAACTAAAACTGCTTGTTAAGAGAAAATATGGAAAGTATACATTAAATTTATATATACATCTTTCCATCTTTCTGGAAAGACCGTAATTGGATGAATGATGGTGAGTGTTTTTCCATCTTTGGTTCACTTGGCAGAAGATGACCATCGAGTTATAAAAAAATTTATATCTCTAATGCAAGAGCAGCAAGCGAATATGACAGACCACATGTGACATTCACTTAATAATCTTGCAAGCTGTCTGTATAAGAATAGAAATTTCAGACAATTAAAATTTTCATCCAATTATGTGTAGTGTACAAAGGGCATGGAATATAGGTACATACAGTGGACCCCCGGTTTACGATTAGCTCCCAATGCGACCAATTATGTAAGTGCATTATGTAAGTGAGTTTGTATGTGTATGTTTGGGGGTCTGAAATGGACTAATCTAATTCACAGTATTCCTTATGGGAACAAATTCGGTCAGTACTGGCACCTGAACATACTTCTGGAATGAAATAATATCGTAAACCGGGGGTCCACTGCATTTATAGTCTGATGAATTGACAAAAAAAAAAAAAAAAAAAAAAAAAAGTGGGTGGGTGGTGGATTGAGGGTTCTGTGGAGACAAAGTACTTCATCCATGGAGGCAAAAAGGAAATTTGTATCAAAGTATTCTGTTACCAGCACTGTTGTATGGGTGTGAAGCACAGGTTTTGAATACTGCAGCAAGGAGAAGACTGGAGGCAGTAGAGATATCAGGGTTTGGAGATTAGGTGGTGTGGAGTAACCAAAGGAATTATTCAGAGGGCTGAGGAGGGATGGTTGAGGTGGTCTGGACATTTAAAGTGTATAGATATGGGTTGGAGGGAAGGAGGGGTGAGGCTCATCCTAAGAAGAGTTGGAGGGAGGAGGGCATAGGCATCCAACAGGTTTATGTAAGCACGTTAAGTTGGAGTGGAAGCAAGTGGTTTTTATGATTTGGAGTGCTGTTGGAATATGAGCAAGGTAACATTTATGAAAGGATTCAGGGAAACAGGTTAGCCAAGCTTGAGTTCAGGAGGTGGGAAATATAGTGCCTGCACTCTGAAGGAGGAGTGGAGATACTGCAGTTTGGAAGGCCATCTACACTGTAATGTCAACATGCTTCTGAAAAGACAGTGATTTGAGCATGTGACAGTTAAAGTGTTTTCTTCTTTGTTCAGTCACCCTACCTCAGTGGGAGACAACCACTTAGTTGAAAGAAAATTATTTATATTTAGAGTTTGCTCAAAGGAGAAATTAATTTCTTAATTTTAAGGGCATTTTGATTTTCCGAGTAAGGTGGACAGGAAGCAAATGAGCAAAGCTAAATTTAAAAGGGCACACAAGGATTTAAAAAGCTAAAATACTGAGATACAAAGGAAAAAAATCAATTATTATTACTGCAGAATTATTTTTTCACAAAATGCGTTCAACCCGTATGGGTCATAAAGTGCCCCAAGGATAAGGGTAGCTACTGGCAAAGGAGAATAGAGCAAGAAATGAGCTAATATCAAAAGTCAAACTTAACTTAATAAATATGTTTCAATCGAAAAGTCAAAGAGTGTATATACTGACAGCAGAGCATTTTAAAAGGAGAAAAGGCAAAGTGAGAGTATCCAGGCACTGAAAAGCAGACTTTAAATTAATTCTATGTGCTCTTTGATAAATAGTACAATAAATAAAGAGGAGTGACTCAATGGGACCTGATAAAGCAGAAAGATGGAACAGCAATAAAAATGTAAAATTTTGTCCTATCATAACTCCAGTACACCTGTTAATATTAGGATGTGTAAATAAACAATATGTACAATGGACTGGTAATTTTGGTTGTAGATATACAAGTATTGGGCTGTTCGTAAGTGCTATTCATTTTAAGTACTAAAACTTTCCGATTCTGCTATGGTCATGATGCAGCATCCTAGGTATGTAAAGTCCTGGTATATGTCACAATTATCTTGAGTACCATGAGGCGGAGACTATCATCAAACTATCACATACAATATATAATTTTGAGCATAAAATGATCTTAAAGTATACACAGTATATATTCTTTTTTCCACAAACTATTCCTCATCATACCAGGACAGTAATTTCAAGTAACTGCAATACAACTGGAAATAATCTGCATATGATTTGTGATGTTTCTCTTCATAATGAAAAAATTGCAAATATTGTCTGGTAATGTACAACACTTCACAGAAGCTGTGCCTCTTAGAGAAACAATATTTACAGGCCTACGTGCAAATAGGTAACAAGACCCTACATACAAAAGCATGTCAATTACAAAGAAAACACGTTCACCAACCAATATAAATCCTACACATCATTGAATTTCTCCAGAGACTCTCGTAGCCGGTCAGTGATCTGGAAAGAAAATGCAAAATAAAATAATCATACAGAAAAGCAATACTGTCCTTAAAATCTACTCTGAAAAGAAGAGTGATCGAGAGAATGATGGTAAAACCCTTTTTTTTTTCTTGAAACATGCTGGCCATCTCCCACCAAGGCAGAATAACCTGAAAAACAAACACTTTCACCATCATTCACACTTTCACTGTTTTGCCAGAGATGTGCAGCTGCAACAGTGTAGATGTCACTCTAAACAGCCAATATCCCAAACCCCTCCTTTAAAGTGCAGGCAATTATTATTATTATTATTAACAGGGAGGTATACCATCTTTTAGGAGTGAAGAAGAACAGAATGTAAGTGTGGGGGAAGTACGTGAGGCATTACTTAGAATGAAAGGGGGTAAAGCAGCTGGAACTGATGGGATCATGACAGAAATGTTAAAAGCAGGGGATGATATAGTGTTGGAGTGGTTGGTACTTTTGTTTAATAAATGTATGAAAGAGGGGAAGGTACCTAGGGATTGGCAGAGAGCGTGTATAGTCCCTTTACATAAAGGGAAGGGGGACAAAAGAGATTGTAAAAATTATAGAGGAATAAGTTTACTGAGTATACCAGGAAAAGTGTAAAGTAGGGTTATTATTGAAAAAATTAGAGGTAAGACAGAATGTAGGATTGCGAATGAGCAAGGAGGTTTTAGAGTGGGTAGGGGATGTGTAGATCAAGTGTTTACATTGAAGAATATATGTGAACAGTATTTAGATAAAGGTAGGGAAGTTTTTATTGCATTTATGGATTTAGAAATGGCATATGATAGAGTGGATAGGGGAGCAATGTGGCAGATGTTGCAAGTATATGGAACAGGTGGCAAGTTACAAAATGCTGTAAAGAGTTTTTATGAGGATAGTGAGGCTCAGGTTAGGGTGTGTAGAAGAGAGGGAGACTACTTCCCAGTAAAAGTAGGTCTTAGACAGGGATGTGTAATGTCACCATGGTTGTTTAATATATTTATAGATGGGGTTGTAAAAGAAGTAAATGCTAGGGTGTTCGGGAGAGGGGTGGGATTAAATTATGGGGAATCAAATACAAAATGGGAATTGACACAGTTACTTTTTGCTGATGATACTGTGCTTATGGGAGATTCTAAAGAAAAATTGCAAAGGATAGCGGATGAGTTTGGGAGTGTGTAAAGGTAGAAAGTTGAAAGTGAACATAGAAAAGAGTAAGGTGATGAGGGTATCAAATGATTTAGATAAAGAAAAATTGGATATCAAATTGGGGAGGAGGAGTATGGAAGAAGTGAATGTTTTCAGATACTTGGGAGTTGACGTGTCGGCGGATGGATTTATGAAGGATGAGGTTAATCATAGGATTGATGAGGGAAAAAAGGTGAGTGGTGTGTTGAGGTATATGTGGAGTCAAAAAACGTTATCCTTGGAGGCAAAGAAGGGAATGTATGAAAGTATAGTAGTACCAACACTCTTATATGGGTGTGAAGCTTGGGTTGTGAATGCAGCAGCGAGGAGGTGGTTGGAGGCAGTGGAAATGTCCTGTCTAAGGGCAATGTGTGGTGTAAATATTATGCAGAAAATTCGGAGTGTGGAAATTAGGAGGTGTGGAGTTAATAAAAGTATTAGTCAGAGGGCTGAAGAGGGGTTGTTGAGGTGGTTTGGTCATTTTGAGAGAATGGATCAAAGTAGAATGACATGGAGAGCATTTAAATCTGTAGGAGAAGGAAGGCGGGGTAGGGGTCGTCCTCGAAAGGTTGGAAGGAAGGGGTAAGGGAGGTTTTGTGGGCGAGGGGCTTGGACTTCCAGCAGGCGTGCATGACCGTGTTCGATAGAAGTGAATGGAGACGAATGGTATTTGGGACCTGATGATCTGTTGGAGTGTGAGCAGGGTAATATTTAGTGAAGGGATTCAGGGAAACCGGTTATTTTTATATAGCTGGACTTGAGTCTTGGAAATGGGAAGTACAATGCCTGCACTCTAAAGGAGGGGTTCGGGATATTAGCAGTTTGGAGGGATATGTTGTGTATCTTTATACGTATATGCTTCTAAACTGTTGTGTTCTGAGCACCTCTGCAAAAACAGTGATTATGTGTGAGTGAGATGAGAGTGTTGAATGATGATGGAAGTATTTTCTTTTAGGGGATTTTCTTTCTTTTTGGGTCACCCTGCCTCGGTGGGAGATGGCCGACTTGTTGAAGAAAAAAAAAATAGATAAGCACTGCGGTAGGCCTATTGGCCCTGCTAGGCAGGTCCTACTCTCTCCAATCCATTCCCATTCATTTGTTCATCATGTAACCTCAATACACATTAATTAGTCTTTTATTTAAATACACCATCATTTCATTGCAAATTTTATTCAAACCAGTTATTAAAATAATCATTATAGAAATAAATTAATAACTATTAAATACTGAGTAATGAACTATGTAAACAAGACAAAAACAAAGCTTCAAAAAATGTATAAGGAATTGATTGCAGCTGCTGCAGTTCTAAACTTAATTATATCTATCAAGTTAAACCTAATCATATCAATAAAATTAAACCAAATCAATCTGTTACCTTCTGATAAAAGTTTATTTGCTCAGTAAGGAAGGAAGTCATGGCTTTCTTGAAGTCCCTTGTTCTCTCTTGATGGAAATGAGCCACTTCAGCATGAAGAGCATAAGCTATCGTATCTGATCGTCTCACCATAGGGGGAACTTGGTCGTAGTCCAGCCGTCCTTCATTGGCTTCCTTTTCAACTTGTCTTCTCTTTGCTATTGCTCCCTTAAAAAAAAAAATTACAATGGCCATCTTGCACCAGTGTAGAATGATTAAAAGAAGAAAATGCATTCACCATTCCTTATTCAATAGCTGTCTTGCCAGAAGTGTAAGGACACAATTCAATGACCCTCTGAACAGCAACATACCAAGCACCATACTTACCATTTCTTAGACTCTTAAATCCAGCTTACAGATCTATATATACGTATATATACATATATTTTTTTTTTTCAACAAGTCGGCCGTCTCCCACAGAGGCAGGGTGACCAAAATAGAAAAAATCCCCACTCATACATAATCACTGTCTTTGCAGAGGTGCCCAGATACAACAGTTTAGAAGCATATAAAAAGATGTATAACATATCCCTCCAAACTGCCAATATCCCAAACCCCTCCTTTAAAGTGCAGGCATTGTATTTCCCATTTCCAATACTCAAGTCCAGCTATATAAAAATAACCCGTTTCCCTTCACTAAATATTACCCTGCTCACATTCCAACAGCTCGTCAGGTCCCAAAAACCATTCGTCTCCATTCGCTCCTATCTAACACGCTCACACATGCTTGCTGGAAGTCCAAGCCCCTCGCCCACAAAACCTACTTTACCCCCTCCCTCCAACCTTTTCGAGGACGACCCCTACCCCGCCTTCCTTCCCTTACAGATTTACACGCTCTCCAAGTGATTCTACTTTGATCAATTCTCTCTAAACGACCAAACCACCTCAACAACCATTCTTCAGCCCTCTGACTAATACTTTTATTAACTCCACACCTTCTCCTAATTTCTACACTCCGAATTCTCTGCATAATATTTACACCACACACTGCCCTTAGACAGGACATCTCCACTGCCTCCAGCCGCTTCCTCGCTGCAACATTTGCAACCCAAGCTTCACACCCATATAAGAGTGTTGGTACTACTATACTTTCGTACATTTCCTTCTTTGCCTCCAAGAATAACGTTTTTTTGTCTCCACAGATACCTCAACACACCACTCACCTTTTTTCCTTCATCAATTCTATGGTTACCCTCATCCTTCATAAACCCATCCGCTGACAAGTCAACTCCCAAATACATACAGTGGACCCTCATTTTTCGTAATTAATCCATTCCAGAGAGTGTGACTATTATCGAAATTGACGATTTGCGAATCCATTTTCCCCATGTGAAATAATGTATATCCAATTAATTCATTCCAGACACCCAGAAGTACCAACAAAACAATTTTTTTTACCTTAAAGGTAGATTTACATGCACAAGAGAATGAACATTCAACATGACAGTTACCTTTATTGAAGGCTGTTGTTGATGAATGGAAGACAGGGAGGAGGAGAGAGGGAAGAGAGGTTATTGTTTGGAAGGGGAATCCCCCTCTATAAGGACTCTAGGTCACTTCAGGGGTCACTTCCCTAGCTTAAATATAGATTTACATGCAGAAAAAATGCCAAATAAATGCAAAGCACTAATAAAATGTATAAATGAACATTTAACATCACACTTACCTTTATTGATGACTCTTGTTCATGTATGGCAGACGGGCAGAGGGAGGGGAGGCAAGTTTATTGTTGGAGAATTTTTTTTTTTTTAACAAGTCGGCCATCTCCCACCGAGGCAGGGTGACCCAAAAAAAAAGAAAATCCCCAAAAAGAAAATACTTTCATCATCATTCAACACTTTCACCTCACTAACTATGGCTTATTTATCTATCACAATTCAACTAATATGACATAATAAACAATATTAATAATATAGAAACATAGAATATACTCTAGAATGAATAAAATAAGTCATTATGAATGTTACAAGAGGTGTTCAGTTGGTGTTGTTGGGTGTACAAGGGCCACTGAGAGCATAAGCCGTCCATAATGCTGGTGAAGCAGCAGCTGAGGCAGCGGTGTTTTCTGTAGCCCTATATAACTCCAACAACATTGGAGGAGTTAGTAGAATTGCTGAATCACTGAAAAAGGCACCCTCTACCACTATCACAACTGCTACCACCCTCTACCACCATCACTACCACCCTCTACCACTATCACTACCACCTTCTACCACTATCACTACCACCTTCTACCACCATCACTACCACCCTCTACCACTATCACAACTGCTACCACCCTCTACCACCATCACTACCATTCTCTACCACCACTACCACTATCAAAACTGCTACCACTATCAAAACTGCTACCACTATCAAAACTGCTACCACTATCAAAACTGCTACCACTATCAAAACTGCTACCACTATCAAAACTGCAACCACTTTCAAAACTGCTACCACTTTCAAAACTGCTACCACTCTATCACCACCACTTTCATATTTTTCTACAAACTTTTTCTTAAATTATGTGCGTTTCTCACATTCTTTACCAAAGGGCTAGCACTAGAAGCTTTCTTTGGAACTATGGTGACTTATTTAGCAGTTGCAAGCACTAAAACGAATGGAATATTATGAAATGTATCGTATGAATTTGTGGGATCATCTTCACTCACTGATAAACAATGGCACACTGGCTGGGAATGGAGTGTGAGGCGGCTCGGAGCTGTTGTTCGCATCCCAGATGAACGACTATTTGTGAGTCAAATGACAATTTGCGAGTCAATGTTTTGATGAAAAAAAGTTACGATTTCTGAAAATTACGACATTCGAGCCTTACAAAAACGAGGGTTCACTGTATCTGAAAACATTTACTTCGTCCATACTCCCACTCTCCAATGTGATATCCAATTTTTCTTTATCTAAATCATTTGATACCCTCATCACCTTACTCTTATCTATGTTCACTTTCAACTTTCTACCTTTACCCTCCCCAACACGTTCACTAACCTTTGCAACTTTTCATTAGAATCTCCCATAAGCACAGTATCATCAGCAAAAAGTAACTGTGTCAACTCCCATTTTGTAGTTGATTCCCCATAATTTAATCCTACTCCTCTCCCCAACACTCTAGCATTTACTTCTTTTACAACTCCATCTATAAATATATTAAACAACCATGGTGACATTACACATCCCTGTCTAAGACCTACTTTTACCAGGAAGTAATCTCCCTCTCTCCTACACACCCTAACCTGAGCCTCACTTTCCTCATAAAAACTCTCTGCAGCATTTAGTAACTTACTACCTGTTCCATACACCTGCAGCATCTGTCACATTCCTCCCCTATCCACTATCATATGCCTTTTCTAAATCCATAAATGCAATGAAAACTTCCCTAACTTTATCTAAATACTGTTCACATATATGCTTCAATGTAAACACTTGATCTACACGTTTTTTTTTTCAACACGTCAATCGTCTCCCACCAAGACAGGGTGACCCAAAAAAGAAAGAAAATGTAAAATCTACAACCAATTTGTGATTTCAATAATGTACAAGTTCTGGTAAATATACAAAAATTCCAGATTAAAAAAAAAATGCCAACAATTTCATAATATTATACTGTATTTAACATGCTTGTTTAGCCCTTGTGGGAAGATAATAAAGACTCAAAATGCTAAAACTGGGTTAATGGAAATGGTTAACCTATACACATTTTTTTAACTGACGTTGATTATTCAATATAAAATTATGGTGAAAACCAAAATTAATACACAGATGATACAAGCAATGACACAAACCTTAGTTATAGAAATGACACTGGGAAAACCATCAATGAGACCTCGGTATTCAAAAAGAAGATGGCACAAGGGATCCCAGTCATGTTTTGGCTCTTCCTCAAATACAGTACCAATATCTGAATATGCTTCACTCATATGGTGAATGGCTTCTGTCAAACCAGGTGCACCTGTCATAAAATAAAAATTATTATATTTTTTATATTATCTAGGTAGTAGGTTGGTAGACAGCAGCCGCCCAGGGAGGTACTACCGTCCTGCCAAGTGAGTGTAAAACGAAAGCCCGTAATTGTTTTACATGATAGGATTGCTGGTGTCCATTTTTTGTCTCATAAACATGCAAGGTTTCAGGTACATCTTGCTACTTCTACTTGCACTTAGGTCACACTACACATACATGTACAAGCATATATATATACACACCCCTCTGGGTTTTCTTCTATTTTCTTACTAGTTCTTGTTCTTATTTATTTCCTCTTATCTCCACGGGGAAGTGGAACAGAATTCTTCCTCCGTAAGCTATGCATGTTGTAAGAGGCGACTAAAATGCCAGGAGCAAGGGGCTAGTAACCCCTTCTCCTGTATAAATTACTAAATTTAAAAAGAGAAACTTTTTTTTTTTTAGGGGGGGCCACCCTGCCTTGGTGGGATACTGCCGGTTTGTTGAAAAAAAAAAAATTATATTTTGTGCTAAATTATAATGCCCTGAAACTGGGCACACCATACATAAATTATAGCCCAGGAAAACAAAGCCACAAAGCACTATACACATACTGCTGCCCAAGAACTGGCATGACAAACATACAGTTGGTGGGTAAGAGCCATGCATATACACTAGTGTATAAATTTCAGCAGATCCACTTCAGCAGCACCTATCATAAGTTATAATATCATAACATCTTATGTTATTATGCTCCAAATTTACAGGCAGCAAAAAATCTGTGAATAGTACTTTGTGCCTCGAAAATTAGATACACCTCATGGAATTTCTTGCAAGATTTTGTATTATCCCAGATTAATTATAAAACATGGCAGTTTATCTATGTCATAGATGTACAAATGGAACTACTTAAGAGTCACACTTAACTGCACAAGAAAGTACAGCTTTAATTTAACAATGAAACACTTTATAAGATTAAAATTAAATTTATAGAAATCCACATTATTATTGTATTATTTTTAATACATTATCATCTGAACAACAAAAGTGCATTAATAATTAAGCATTATTATATAAACAATTATGACAGGTTTATATTAAGAGAGATTTAAAACACTGACTATATATATACTCACAGTTTGAAGGATCTGTATCAAAAGCTCTGCTAAGCTTAGAGAATGAATGAGAAATTTTATTATATTCCCTTTTAAAAGCTGTCTGATGCTTTTTGGCTTGGTCCATGCATGTGTTTTGGAGCAGTTTTACTGACTCGTCCAGATTGGAGAAGAAGCGATTGTAACCCTCAAGTTTGGCCTCTCTATAGAAAAGATGAAGATTAATAAATTATCAACATTAGTAAATGCAATTTTATCATATAAGAGTAATACAGTTTTATTACAAAATACTTTCCACAATTATTTTTTATCTGCGATGTTATAGTTTTCCACGTAGTTACACAGGCCATATGAGGTGTGCGGCAGAAAAGCCAAGGCCAAAATTTGAGTTAATGAAAGAATAGATTCCTTAATGCTTCATTTGTTTGTGGAAATATATATACATAGAATTTTCTGGTTGCCAAGTAGGTTCAGAGCCTTATAATAAAGTAAAGTAACTTGAGCTTCATAGCACCAATCTCCTCCCTGCCTGATTTTTCTCCACTGTTTGAATTAGGTACTGATTCTTTTCTGCTATGCAAATACCTATTATGTTGTACATTTAAATAAGAAAAAGTTTTGGAGTGAGATTAACAAGTTAAGGAAGCCTAGAGAACAAATGGATTTGTCAGTTAAAAATAGGAGAGGAGAGTTATTAAATGGAGAGTTAGAGGTATTGGGAAGATGGAGGGAATATTTTGAGTAATTGTTAAATGTTGATGAAGATAGGGAAGCTGTGATTTCGTGTATAGGGCAAGGAGGAATAACATCTTGTAGGAGTGAGGAAGAGCCAGTTGTGAGTGTGGGGGAAGTTCATGAGGCAGTAGGTAAAATGAAAGGGGGTAAGGCAGCCGGGATTGATGGGATAAAGATAGAAATGTTAAAAGCAGGTGGGGATACAGTTTTGGAGTGGTTGGTGCAATTATTTAATAAATGTATGGAAGAGGGTAAGGTACCTAGGGATTGGCAGAGAGCATGCATAGTTCCTTTGTATAAAGGCAAAGGGGATAAAAGAGAGTGCAAAAATTATAGGGGGATAAGTCTGTTGAGTATACCTGGTAAAGTGTATGGTAGAGTTATAATTGAAAGAATTAAGAGTAAGACGGAGAATAGGATAGCAGATGAACAAGGAGGCTTTAGGAAAGGTAGGGGGTGTGTGGACCAGGTGTTTACAGTGAAACATATAAGTGAACAGTATTTAGATAAGGCTAAAGAGGTCTTTGTGGCATTTATGGATTTGGAAAAGGCGTATGACAGGGTGGATAGGGGGGCAATGTGGCAGATGTTGCAGTGTATGGTGTAGGAGGTAGGTTACTGAAAGCAGTGAAGAGTTTTTACGAGGATAGTGAGGCTCAAGTTAGAGTATGTAGGAAAGAGGGAAATTTTTTCCCAGTAAAAGTAGGCCTTAGACAAGGATGTGTGATGTCACCGTGGTTGTTTAATATATTTATAGATGGGGTTGTAAGAGAAGTAAATGCGAGGGTCTTGGCAAGAGGCGTGGAGTTAAAGATATAGAATCACACACAAAGTGGGAGTTGTCACAGCTGCTCTTTGCTGATGACACTGTGCTCTTGGGAGATTCTGAAGAGAAGTTGCAGAGATTGGTGGATGAATTTGGTAGGGTGTGCAAAAGAAGAAAATTAAAGGTGAATACAGGAAAGAGTAAGGTTATGAGGATAACAAAAAGATTAGGTGATGAAAGATTGAATATCAGATTGGAGGAGAGAGTATGGAGGAGGTGAACGTATTCAGATATTTGGGAGTGGACGTGTCAGCGGATGGGTCTATGAAAGATGAGGTGAATCATAGAATTGATGAGGGAAAAAGAGTGAGTGGTGCACTTAGGAGTCTGTGGAGACAAAGAACTTTGTCCTTGGAGGCAAAGAGGGGAATGTATGAGAGTATAGTTTTACCAACGCTCTTATATGGGTGTGAAGCGTGGGTGATGAATGTTGCAGCGAGGAGAAGGCTGGAGGCAGTGGAGATGTCATGTCTGAGGGCAATGTGTGGTGTGAATATAATGCAGAGAATTCGTAGTTTGGAAGTTAGGAGGAGGTGCGGGATTACCAAAACTGTTGTCCAGAGGGCTGAGGAAGGGTTGTTGAGGTGGTTTGGACATGTAGAGAGAATGGAGCGAAACAGAATGACTTCAAGAGTGTATCAGTCTGTAGTGGAAGGAAGGCGGGGTAGGGGTCGGCCTAGGAAAGGTTGGAGGGAGGGGTAAAGGAGGTTTTGTGTGCGAGGGGCTTGGACTTCCAGCAGGCATGCGTGAGCGTGTTTGATAGGAGTGAATGGAGACAAATGGTTTTTAATACTTGACGTGCTGTTGGAGTGTGAGCAAAGTAACATTTATGAAGGGATTCAGGGAAACCGGCAGGCCGGACTTGAGTCCTGGAGATGGGAAGTACAGTGCCTGCACTCTGAAGGAGGGGTGTTAATGTTGCAGTTTAAAAACTGTAGTGTAAAACACCCTTCTGGCAAGACAGTGATGGAGTGAATGATGGTGAAAGTTTTTCTTTTTCGGGCCACCCTGCCTTGGTGGGAATCGGCCAGTGTGATAATAAAAATAAAAAAATTTAAGATATATGTGTACAATACTGACAAGATGAAGAATAACATTATGTGAAACATCTGGGTATCTTTATTGTAGATATTTTGCCATCCAATGGCTTTATCAATACAAATTCAAGGACATAACTGTGAAGGAATTCAGGGAAACTGGTTAGCCAGACTCGAGTCCATGAAATGAGAAGTACAATGCCTGCACTTTAACCCGTAAACGGTCCAAGCAGATCTACGTTCACATGTATAGTGCTACAAAAGTAGATCTACGTTTTTTTTACATATTTTCAAATATAACAAAAAAAAAGTAGATCAAAGTTTTTTACACATTTTCAAATGTAAAAAAACAAAAAGAAGATCTACTTTTTTTACATACTTTCAAATGTTGAAAAAACGTACATATACATTTGGACCGTTTACGGGTTAAAGGAGGGGTTTGTGATATTGGCAGTTTGGAGGGACAGTGATTATGTATGAGTGATGGTGAAAGAGTTAAATGATGATGAAAGTTTTTCTTTCTTTTTTTTTTTTTTTTCTTTTTGGGTCACCTTGCCTCGGTGAGAAACGGCCGACATGTTAAAAAAAAAAAAGTTGGAAGACAGTAGAAATATATACAAAAGATGAGGTAATCAGTTCCTCAGCCTTGGTTGTGCATATATTTTAACTGCCTTCCAATCATGCCCTTGCATTTGTATTGATAAAGCCACTGGATGACGAAACATCTACAACAGAGATACCCAGATGTTGCACATTTGTAATTCTTCGTCAAATACCTATTAAATTACAACTTTAGCTTTTTTCATGATGTTTCCAATTATCTTTCTCAATTTTTTACTTATTAATACACTGGCTGTTGCCCACCAAAGCAGGGTGACCCAAAAACAAGAAGAAACACTTTCATCATCATTCACTTGATCACTATCTTGCCAGAGGCATGCCTACACTAGTTAACCCTTTGAGAGTCGACAGGCCCTCTCCGAAACTCGTTCTCAGGGTCGGCCAAATTTAAAAAAAAAAAAAAATTATTTTCTCTTATGAAAAGATAGAGAATCTTTTTCCGATCATAACGACACCAAAAGTTTGAAATTTGATAGAAAACTTACGGAATTATGCTCTCGCAAAGTTAGCGGTCTCGGCGATGTTTACGCATCGGCGATTTTGCCCACTTTGAGCCCCATTTTCGGCCAATTTCACTGTACTAGTCGACAAAAAACATGAATATTTCGCTAGAACTCCATTTTTTCTATCGAATGGGTGCAAGAAACCACCCATTTATAAATTCAACTATCCAGTACAGTGGTCAGAATTTAGCAATTTTGCCAATTTCACACAAATTTCAAAAGATGCCAATTTCCGAATAGGGTCCAGAATAAACAAGATAGACATTCCTGGCACTAAAATGACATTTCCTCTAGTCATTAGTCACGTCTCAAGGCCCCTCTTATATTCTTTTGCTTTCCACTTTGAATTTTTATTCTCACAAAAAATATAAGATTTACTGTTATGCAGACTACTGCATTAGTGTAAAAAATGGTATAAATATTATTGGTGCACTTGTGAAAGAATATTAGACTCACCAGTTGACGTGTATTGCACGCTTGGCACGATTTGTTTACTTTTGAAGTTTGGTAAAAATCGAACATTTCTGCTACTTTGAGCTCAATTTCAAGGCACCTTTCATTGTAAAACCAGTCAAAATCATCTCAATTTCTGTAATATGTCTTCCATTCTATAAAATGAGACCAAGAAAACTAGAATAGAACAATAAATACTATACGAAAATACACTGCAAAGTCGCTGATTTATTAAAAAAAAATGGTAAAAATTTTTTTTTTCTCATTATGCACTGTGTGCTGCAGGATTTTTTTTAAACTGTGCACACTGACCACATAGACCCATTCTTTCATATGAAGGCCTACCAGCTTTCTCCCACTAGATTTGAGGCCGCTAGAATTTATGAGTACTAGTACGTCAAAAACCCCTACTCGTAAGACGTACTAGTACGACGAAAACCCTCAAAGGGTTAATTAAATAACTGCACATACCAACACCCATTCTTCAGCATGCAGGCACTATACTTCCCAGAATTAACCAGTGTCCCTGAATCCTTTCATAAATGTTATTTTGCTCACACTCCAACAGCACGTCAATATGAACACAAAACCAGCCCCAAATTTGGAGAGGAAACTTTAAACAATACTTCGGCATGTCCCAGACCATTATCTTTTCACAACTTAATAATAGGTGCTTGTTTATACATCACAAAGTACAAGTATAATAACCAAACTCATGCAGTTAAATTTCCAATATAGAAACATGACATCAATACTGATGACTGCTATGCAGAAAAGAGCTAATTTGGCTCCATCAGTTTAAACCTGTGACTCGAGTTTAAACTGATGTAGCCAGCTTCCCCAGAGGACATGAAAACACTGAATGAGTTGACTGCAGATGCAGAAAAAACACTATTTACCACCAACTATCATGACTGAAAACATTTTTTTTATTATTATCACACTTAAACAAGTACCAGGGGTTATGTAAAGTTATACTTTTTGTAGTGAAAGTATAAACTCCCCTCCCATCTTATCGATAGGGCTGACTTGTGATCAGTGTCATACAGTAGTATAAAATATTGGTTCTTACATCAGAAATGCAGAGATCACTCAATCCCAATGCAGAGATCACTCAGTCCTAATGCAAAGATCACTCAGTCCTTATGCGAGATCACTCATTCCTAAACACAAAGGTTTAACTTACGTTTGCATGACATCCAAAGCCGTGTCTGGTCGTTCAATTGCCAGGTAGAAGTTAGCCCCAACCAACTTATCACTTTCAGCTCTGCGTTTCCCAGTTTTCCATAGCTTCTCATCATTAGGACACGTAACAAAGTGATGAAAGACCTCACACTGAGATATTACAGGATGCCTGCATATCCGATCCACCCATGACTGGAGCATTGTCATCCTGTACTCTATCAAGTCATCTTCAAATCTTCCTATAAAAAAGTTATTTTTTTTTAAATCTACACAAATATTAAGAGGCATAATTTTTTAAAACATCAGCTGTTTAAAACTAAGGCAAGACAAGACAAAAGAAAATTAACACATTCACTGCCACTCATTTCACAGCTGTGCTTAAAGAGGTGCACAAACACAATTATTTTGTAAAAAAGACTAAGAGAATATCCCAGGTGTGCATAGTTTTAAAATATTCATTCACCAATCATAATCAGTTCTCCATTAAGTTCTTAAGTACTGTGAACAGGCTTTAATAATGAAGTACAATAATTCTATTTTAACATTCAAGATTTTTAAAATGCTGTAAGCAAGTCTCAAATAAAATGCAAACATAATTATCATTCTTAATTAATTAATGGTGTAACATTCCAATACAATAAGTGGAAAAGCTGACACTCACCCGAGATTTGTTTTTCAGGTAATGGAGGTATTGGTATCAAAGGAAACTTTTCACTTAAACGACCTTGTATCCAATCAAAATGCTTATATCTCCTTGAAACTGGCGTTGATGAGAACTGAAATAAGCACAGAGGGTTTACATATAAGTAGGAATAAAGCTTATTTTTAAGATACGTACACAAACTACAGTCAAAACTTTACCTAATGTACAAGAATGTTTCCTCAAGTTATCTTTATTGCCAACAGTATCAAGAAAGTTAACATAAATCATATGCATTTATCAGTATGTTATGACACATGCAAATCCCAAATGTATGGAACACTAATAAGATAACCATTTCCCCATCATGATACATTAGAGCTACAATAATAAGTTAAGAGTATATACTAGTTCCTACAATGTAAAGCCCATAGTCATGCACACTATCTGTAAATGTAGAAATAAAAATGCAACAACGTCCAGAATCTTATTTGCAGGCATTTGGTTATACCCTAATTATTTCATGTATCCTGAATGGGGATTTTATTTAGACAAAAACACTGGGTAACTCTTGCCATGGCAGGATACAACTATCAAGATAAAAAAAAAAAATGTATACACAGTACATAGCTAATACTTACTGAAGGCATCAGTGTGTATGCAATGAAACTCTTCATTCCATGAAACTTTGATTCTTTTTTTGGAGATGTTATGGCGCATGTAAACTCGTTTGAGTTTGGCTTCCACACTGGCCCATTTCCATAGTCTTCCACGAAAACCTTATCTTTCTCGTCAACTGATGCTTTACCTGCTCCTAGGAAATACAATGAAAGGATTTTAAATTACTCCAAGTGATTTACCTTTCTGTGATTTCAGGAGCAGAACTTATCTCTTAGTGTCCCATCTTCAATATTTAATTGTAAAGTCTTTAAAATAAATGTTAGCAAATAACTCGGGAAAGAACGCCAATGAGGGTAAAAAAAAATACTAAGTATATGAATTAAAAATAGAGAATTCAAAATTAAAGGAATGGTACCTGAAAGTGTCAAAATGGGGGTCTGGAGGGTTGCTACCAACCACTCCAAAACTACAAAACCCCTTTCCTTTGATCTTATCTATCACAGCTGCTTTACCCTCTTTCATTCTCCCACTGCCTCATGCATTACCCTCCCTCACTCACATCTGGCTTTTCCTCACTCCTAAAAGATGCTATACCTCCTTGCCCGATGAATGAAATCACTGCTTACCTTTCACTGTTAACCTTTAACCACTCATATATAAAGTTATTAAATTCTTATTATGCTTCCTAAATGGGTTAAGTTTTTTAGTTTATATCTGTTGTGCTTCAGCTGTTCAACTATTAAAATTATTTATAAAATGAAAGACTACTCTTCAACTACAATTTATAAGTTAATAAATTTAAAAAGTACTATACTTAAACAATAATTAAAAAATACTTCACAACAAAATTCGCGTATGAATTCATGAAATTTATATACAGTACTGCTATTCTAGGCAATATGTGGAATATTACAAGAGCTGTGGCACACTAAGAAACAATGCATTAGTCTACAAAATTTCCATTTCCAACATTACTTAAAATGCAGACATATGGAAGTAATTAGTGGAAACATTGCTTATTCCTGAGCTTCTCTCTCTTTAGGCCTTTTGATCTCATTCTTAAAATCTCAAATAATAATACTGTTTGGAACAAGAGACCCTTATTCAAGGAAGTATTTTATGCAAATATGTATACAATATACAGCCTCTCCTCACTTAGTGACGTACTCATTTACCGATGCGTCGGATTTACGATGGGCTCTCTGACCAGTAATTATACCTAAATACTGTATATTAGAAATGACTTCCTCTATTTTGTTTATTTCAATATACAGTACACTACTGTACTGTATATTGAAATAAACAAATATACCAGAAATGTTATAAATGGTGCAAAGGTGACATTAAAACAATATCAAAGATGACTGACACAAACCACTACCATTATAGTATGCCACTCACTTAGCAATGAATTTGTTTAACGATGTGGTCTCAGGAACGGAACTCTGTCGTTAAGTGAGGAGAGGCTGTACAGTGGACCCCCGACTTATGATATTCGTTCCAGAAGGCTGTTCGGGTGCCGTTACCGAACAAATTTGCTCCCTTAAGGAATATTGTAAATTAGATTAGTCCGTTTCAGACCCCCAAAAATACACTTACAGAAGCACTTACAAAAATACACTATGTATTTTTAACAACACTGAATTTACAGGCTAAGAGCTGTTATACTACCTCAGCACCAGGATGCTACCCACAGCAGTCAATACCCAGGTATCTATTTTACTGCTTGGTGTATCTATTTACTACTAGGCTCTACCTAGCCAGGAATGAGCTTGGGTCCTTCAGGTGTGAATCAAAGGCACTATCACTAAATAATACAGTTCTAGGACAGACTTGCCATGGGTTTGAACCCTTTACCATTCATGAGTTATACACTATATCCTTGAATTTAGAAGTTTACACGTAGCAAAGGTCTCACTGGTTCCAGTTGATTATACTGGTATACTGGCCTGGTAGGCAATGCTCTTGCTTCAAACACTGAGTGTCCATGATTCGATTCCTGGCAAGGGTGGAAACACTGAGCGTGTTTTCTTCCACCTGTTGTCCCGTTCACCTAGCAAGCAAGTACCTGGGTTTTAGACGACTGATGTGGGTCGCATCCTGGGAGACAAGATTTAACCCCTTGACTGTCACAACCCCAATTCTGAAGTATCTCCTGGTGTCACAAAATTTAAAAAAAAAAAAAAAAAATCTTATGAAATGATAGAGAATATTTTCCCGATTGTAATGACACCAAAAACACAAAATTTGATGGAAAACTGACGGAATTACGCTCTCGCAAAATTAGCGGCCTCGGCGACATTTACAAATTGGCGATTTCGCCCACTTTGAGCCCTATTTTCGGCTAATTCCATTGTTCCAGTCGACCAAACTCATAACTATTTTTTTAGAAATCCATTTTTTCTATTGAGTACAAGAAACTGCCCATTTACCGATTTCAACTACCCAATAATGTGGTCAGAAATTTGCAATTTGGCCAATTTCACAAATTAAAAAATATGACAATTTCAAAATAAGGTCCAGAATGAACAATGCAGATATTCCTGGCTATAAAATAACATTTTCTTTGTTCATCAGTCATGTCTCCAGGCCCTCTAGATATTACTCTTGCTTTCTATTTTGAATTTTTATTCAAACTGTAATAATTGTATAAATAACATCAACCCATTGACTGCATGTTAGAATGATTAGTTGGACATTTATTGGACAATGACATCATTTGTTTACTTTTGAACATCGGCAAAAATGAAACATTTCCCCTACTTTGGGCTCCATTTCCAGGTTATTTTTATAGTAAAATCAATCAAAATCACCTCTATTTCTATAATATGTTTTCCATTTTATCAAATGAGACCAAGAAAACGAGAATACAACCCTAAATACTATACGAAAATAGACCACAAAGTCGGCCTTTTAATTAAAAAAAACGGTCGGAGTTTTTTTTTTTCTCATTATTCAATGCATGCTCCAGGATTTTTTATATGGTGCACACTGACCACACAGACCCATTCTCTCACATGTGGGCCTACCAGCTTTCTCCTGCTTGATTTGAAGCTGCTAGAATTTATGAGTATATATACGTCAAACATGGTACCTCGTAAGACGTATATATACGACCTCGACAGTCAAAGGGTTAAGGACCCCCCAATGGAAATATGACAGACAGCCCTTGATGATGCACTGACTTTCTTAGGTTATCCTTGGTGGCTAACCCTCCAGGGTTAAAAATCCAAACAAAATCTCATCTTACTCTATCCTTAAAAATACATATTAAATTCTCTCTCACTAAATTTACTCTTTCTTTTTGGGTCACCCTGCCTGGGTGGGAAACAGTTGACGTGTTCAAATAAAAACATAAATAAATAAATAAATATATAGATACGTATATACAGTGGACCCCTGACTTACGAACATCTCCCAACTCAATCAATTATGTAAGTGTATTTTTGTAAGTCCTTCTGTAAGTGTATTTTTGGGGGTCTGAAACAGACTAATCTAAGTTACGATATTCCTCATGGGAGTAAATTTGTTTGGTAACAGCACTCGAACAGCCTTCTGGAACGAATTAATATCGTAAGTTGGGGGTCCACTGTATATATATATATATATATATATACAGTGGACCCCCGCTTAACGATATTTTTTTCACTCCAGAAGTATGTTCAGGTGCCAGTACTGACCGAATTTGTTCCCATAAGAAATATTGTGAAGTAGATTAGTCCATTTCAGACCCCCAAACATACACGTACAAACGCACTTACATAAATACACTTACATAATTGGTCACATTCGGAGGTAATCGTTATGCGGGGGTCCACTGTATATATATATATTTTTTTTTTTAACAAGTCGGCCGTCTCCCACCGAGGCAGAGTGACCCAAAAAGAAAGAAAATCCCCAAAAAGAAAATACTTTCACCATCATTCAACACTTTCACCTCACTCAAACAATCACTGTTTTTGCAGAGGTGCTCAGAATACAACAGTTTAGAAGTATATACGTATAAAGATACACAACATATCCCTCCAAACTGCCAATATCCCAAACCCCTCCTTTAAAGTACAGGCATTGTACCTCCCATTTCCAAGACTCAAGTCCGGCTATGTAAAAATAACCGGTTCTGTGAATCACTTCGCTAAATATTACCCTGCTCACACTCCAACAGCTCGTCAGGTCCTAAATACCATTTGTCTCCATTCATTCTTATCAAACACGCTCATGCACGCTTGCTGGAAGTCCAAGCCCCTCGCCCAGAAAGCCTCCTTTACCCCCTCCCTCCAACCTTTTCAAGGATGACCCCTACCCCGCCTTCCTTCCCCTACAGATTTATACGCTCTCCATGTCATTCTACTTTGATCCATTCTCTCTAAATGACCAAACTACCTCAACAACCTCTCTTCAGCCCTCTGACTAATACTTTTATTAACTCCATACCTTCTAATTTCCACACTCCGAATTTTCTGCATAATTATTACACCAAAAACCTGCACAACCATGAAGGATTCTAGTGAAGAGCAAAAATAACCATGAGCAGAAAACTCCAGTTCATATCAATAAAAATGGAATCTGGAGGAATTTCCTTGAACATTGTAAAGTGAGACGAACTTCATAAATTCTAGCATAAGTACATGCTTAGGAAATGTCAAAACATTTAGTGGATTGGAAAAACATGCTACACATGAAGTTACTTTTTTTTCTGCAGGCAAGATTAATAGTGGATTATTTTTGGAATTTTTAAATTCTTTATTAAACCTTGTATTTGAAAAATTGAATTACACAAAATTTTAAATGAGACATTGTACTGTGCAGAGCATTCTCAAATTAAAAAGGAAAAAAAAATTACAAAGGCTAGAATAGCACAGCATGCATTAAGCTAAACTCATTCATGTTCCTCAGTAGAAAGGTCTACTTACCTCATCTACCTATTGATGGCTCTGGGAATCATCTACCTATTGATGGTTCTGGGAATCATCTACCTATTGATGGTTCTGGGAATCATCTACCTATTGATGGTTCTGGGAATCATCTACCTATTGATGGTTCTGGGAATCATCTACCTATTGATGGTTCTGGGAATCATCTACCTATTGATGGTTCTGGGAATCATCTACCTATTGGAGGTTCTGGGAATCATATCCTCTATGACCCAGTCTCAGATCAGGCTTCCTGGCTGATAGTCTGTTCAGTCAAGTT